GAGCAGCAACCTGCCTTCAGGTGTAGCCTGGGCACTTGCTGCTGGTTTAAGAGTGTCTCTAGGTCAGAACGGTAAGAGTGTCTGAGCCCGGGGAAATGACCCCCTGTATAGAGATCCTGATACTGCTCCTGGTTCTCATCTTGAATGCTGTGCTGAGGCGCCTCAGATCTGAGGTAAGTGAGAATCCTAGAGAGAGGGAAAGGCTGGATCGATGCCAGCTGAATGCAGGAACCAAACATAAGTATTTTTAAATCAGCAGGCTCGGATCATCTACACCCAAGAGTCCTCAAAGAGCTGGCTCAGGAGGTTATTGGCTCCCTGACATGAATTTTTAACAAATTTAGGATTCCTGAGGGAATTCCAGAAGGCTGGAAGTGTGCTAATGTTTTGTCAATTGGTAAATTGTTCCAATGATTAATTCCTCGCACTGTTAAAAATGGACGCCTTATTTCCAGTCTGAATTTGTCTAGTTTCAGCTTCCAGCCATTGGACATGTTAGACCTTTCTCTGCTAGACTGACGAGGCCATTTGTAATGATTTGTTCCCCATGTAGGTATTTATAGACTTTTCATCAAACCACCCTTAACCTCTTTAAACGACATTGACTGAGCTCCTAGAGGCTATCACTACAAGGCAGGTTTTCTAATCCTTTAATCATTCTTATGGCTCTTCTCTGAACCCTCTGCAATTTATTAACGTCCTTCCTGAATGTTAGACACTAGAACTGGACACAGGATTCCAGCAGTGGTTGCACCAGTGCCAAATAAAGAGGTAAAATAACCTCTCTCCTCCAACTTGAGATTCCCTGTTTATGCATTCAAGGACTGCAGGACATTTGGATTAAAAAATTAGCACTATACAATATCAATGGAGCACAGGTTACATGGATTGAGACCAGACTAATGGCTAACTGACAGATCTCAAAAAGTAATTGTCAAAGGGCTCATCGAATGTGGGTGTTTCTAATGGGGCTCTGCAGGGATCAATACTAGGTCTGATGCTTTTCAATATCTTTATCAATGACTTGGATGTCAATATAAAATTGCTGCTGATAAAAATGTGCTGAGGACACAAAGATTGGCAGAATGGGAAATAACGATGAGGACAGGGCAGTCATATAGAGAGTTCTGGAGAGTTTGTTTGGCAAATGGGGCCCATTCAAACAAAATGTGATTTCATACAGCCCAACACAGAGTTCTACATCTAGGAACAAGGAGGGCATATTCAGCTTTGGATTGAACGATCTTTAGTTTTGTATCATCTGCAAATCTGGCCACTTCACTGTTTCCCCCCCTTTTCCTAGATCATTTATGAATATGTTGAACAACTCTGGTCCCAGTACAGATCCTTGGGGGATGTTAAGTATCAGAGGGGTAGCCGTGTTAGTCTGAATCTGTAAAAAGCAACAGAGGGTCCTGGGGA